TATTGTTAAATGTCTGTTTAAATATTTGCACTTTATTATTGAATTGTTTGTCTTTTTCTTATTGATTTGTAGGAGTTCTTTATATATTGTGGATATAATATAATATGCATACTATATATAATGAATTTCTACAATATGTTTGTCACTTACGTTTTGAAAACCTGTGCACCCCTGTGTCACGTCTATGTTTAGCAAATGTGAACAATTACAGGCCAAATATGTTGGAGGATTCCCTCCTTGAACCAGTGGTGGCCCATGCCTGTAATACCAGAGGCTTGGGAGTTCCAGATTCAGGAAGCAATTTAATGTTAAAAATCTTGTCTTGGGGCTGGGGTTGTAGCTCAGAGGTATAGCACTTGCCTAGCATATGTGAGGCACGAGGTTCAACTCTCAGCACTGCATATAAATAAATAAAATGAAGATTTATTGAAAACTAAAAAGTATTTTTTAAGAAAAATCTTGTCTTGAAAGAATAAGCATAGTCACAAATTGTTGTGATATATCAATAAGTGGGGAAAAAGAACATAAAAGTTTGACTTCATTTTAATTTGCATTTTATATCTTTTTTTTTACTTGTATTTCTGTACAGTGAAAGTACTGATGATTTTAGTTTTCTTATGTGTTGTTCTTAGTTTTCTAAGTTTTTTCTATAAGTATGCATTATTTTCACAATTAGAAAAAAAATATATTATTTGAAAAGCACAAATAAGAGTGACTCTGGAAGACAAAATGGATGCCAGAGAACCAAAGTAGAGTCCCAGCTCCACTGCTTACTAGGGTTTGAACTGGGCACCTCCCTTCAGTAAGAGCCTTGGTTACTTTACAGAAAAAGCAGAGAAACTAATCTATATGACTGTGAGAATTAAATGAGATGATGTAGGTAAAGCAATTGGTACTTAATAAAGGGTAACCGATATTTATCATTATCTCAATCACTCAGTGACTCCTTGGAGAAAGTCTGTGCACTGGATGGTATTTCTAACCACCCATTCAGAGCAGGCAGCCTTTGTCTAATGTCCCCTATCTGACTGGTACACCTTACACACCTGCAGTACCAAGGAGCATCCCCTTTATACTGACCTGTCCTACCAATGTGTGGCTATCATTCTACCTCAGAGACAGCCTTGGCTTCACATCCAGAGATATAAGTTCAAGTCCTGGGCTCTGTCCCTGGGAACAGTGTGGTCTGAGACAAATTACTCTCCTTCTCTGGGCTGGTGAACCTCATCTGTGAGGTATTTTGAGGAACCTCCCACCCTTGAATTGCCTCATCTCTTTCATCTATTGGGTGTGTTCTTACGACTTAGGAGGTTGAGTATAAGCTTAGATGAGAGTCGTTGGGACACTGGGTGGGAAATGGCCATGCATGTGTCAGGTATAAGTCTGGGAGATCCATCTCGTCTGTTTGTCTTGGCTTCAGCCCTCGGAAAGCCAACAATGGCCATCTCCGAATGACATACCCAGAGATAGTACTGCTTCTGTAGCATCCCTGCCACGAACTCAGGGCTGAATCCAACCACACAGCATCATCACCAGAGAAGCTCAGACGGAGGGACATTCCACAGAATAGCTGGCCAGGACTCTTCAAAACCGTCAGTGTCAGGAAAGCCTGAAGAACTGTTCCAGGCTCCAGAAGATCAAAGAAACATGACAACTGAACGTAAAACGTGACCTGGATCTCCTTTTGCTACAAAGGACTCCATTGGAGCAGCTGGTGAAATCGGAATATGTTCTGCAGACTAGAAAATTGAGTTTTGTCAGTGGGTATTGCCCTGATTTTATAATCATATTGTGTATGGTCATATAAGAAAATGTGTTGATGTTGTTTTTTTTTTCAGGGAAAGCCTGCAGATATATTATTTAGGCATACGAGAGCATCATGCCTGCAATTTACTTTCAAAGAGTTCAGAAAGATGCACGCTGTGTTTCAGTATTTTTTCATGTATATGTAGATAGAGAGGAGGTCAAAGTGGAGAAAAGTCACCAGGTGCGGTGGCCCACGCCTGTCATCCCAGCGGCTCCGGAGGCTGAGGCAGGAGGATCGCGAGTTCAAAGCCAGCCTCAGCAACAGCGAGGCGCTAAGCAACTCAGTGAGACCCTGAGTTCAAGCCCCACCCCCCAAAAAATATGGTGAAATGTTTATATCTGGGGAACTGAGAGAAACATCTGTGGGAATTCTTTGTACTTTTCCTGTGATTTTCCCACAAGAAAGTGAAATCATGTGGAGAAAGAAAAGAAGGCCAGTGTCGTGCTCCTTGATCAACAGAATGACAGCCATTGAAGGCCCTTCACCTACTGAGCACTTACCCAGTGCCAGAGGGTTGTCCGATGCCTCTGGACAACCAGACTTGCCAGTGACTTGTACCAGGTCCCACGACCTGAGGCCCATGAGCAGCAGAGTTGGGGTATGAACTTGAGTTGCCTGAGTCCCCACTCCCAGAAGCCGTTGTCTTCACGGCAAGAAGGTCACAAAGCCTCACCCACTATTTCTGAGGCTGTGCAAAACAAAAACCTAGCTGTTGGTTTCTTTCTGAGATGGAAGGGGAGGTGTCGGTGCCATACATTTGGTTGGGTCCGGTTTGAAGCTTGGTGTGATCCAGTGAATATTCTCTTGGAACTTCTTGAACGCAGAGAAGCTGGGTCTCTCTGGAACGAGTGCCTGGTCTCGATTCCTCGCCTCCCACCTGGCCCTGCTGAGCACAGGCCCCAGCTTTCCACCTGCGGCCTGTGGCTGGTGAACTGCCCTGGTCCATCTGACTCCTTGAGGCCTAGCGATGATACCAGACTCATGTGGCCTCAGAGCGGCCATGTGGCTCTGTGGACCCCTCCAGGTTCTCCTCTGCCCTCTTTGTAGGCTCTAGACCTCCACTCCCACCTTGGCGCCCCCTCAGTGGGTGTTCCAACAGTTTTGCCCAGGAAATGAGGGAAGCAGCACCGATATCCAGATGGCGCTCTTTGTGATTAACATAATTCAGCATTTCCATTGCAGTGGGTAAACAGCTGCTCTCAAGTCCCTCGGGTGCCCCTCCTCCAGGCCAGCTACCTGTGGCATATCTGAAGGTGGTTCTCAGGCCAGAAACGGAAGGGTTAACTAAGTGTGGCAGAGCAGGTGGCCTCCAAGATTCTGCTCCTGCCCCTCATCAGCACCCCTCCTGCTGGGAAGGATTTTGAATGTCATTGCCCCTTTCTTAGCCTGACCATGCAGGGTCCCCTCTCCAGT